AAATTTTTTTTTTAACATTGAGTATAATCAATGACACTATTACCACCACTCAATTTAAAATCAGAGCGATGACCTCATGGCTTAGGGTGTATCATAAAGTACGATAAATTTCTCTTTGAACATTGAGTATAGTCAATGTCACTCTTACCACTGTTACTACCACCCAATTTGAAATCACATGGAGTCGCCTTTGTACCAAAATAAATGGCCTCTTTGTAAAGAGGAGAGAAACTCTCACTTTTTTAACTTCAGAATGCACAAACTAAGTGGCCAGATGTAAAAAAGGAACTCAAAGTATGTAGAAAGGAACCTTGAGGAACATCTCTAATGGAGCGTCAAAAATGGAATCCACCTCTTCCGGGTTTATGTTGGGTTTGAAAGCTTCCTTGTCTGAGAGTATGCCTATTACTGGTACCACTTTCATGAGATGCTGCAACACAAGAAGAGAGACACATCGTTTGAAAACAATAGGAATGAGAAACCAGAGAATTGAGAAAGAGAGAGACCTTGGATAAAAAGGGCTCGAGGACGGCTACGATGCGAACAAGAGCAGGGTCCAACCCGATCTCTTCCCTCGCCTCTCTCAACGCGGTCGCTGTGTCGTCTGCATCTCCTTCCTCTGCTTTTCCACCTGGAAGTGAGACTTCTCCTGATCCATAAACAAGAGCAAATTCTAAGTAAATACTAAATACTGAAGATTTTCTACTGTTTTTTCTTTTGCGTTTCACGACTCTTAAGTATCTTTCCAGCAGTGGGTTAATTGAGTTTAGATTAACTGTCTTTGCTTTTCGAATTGCCAATTTGGGGTACTCAATTTAATTGGGGCTTTGCAAAAGTTGCATTTGATTTGATTTTGGGTCCCCTCGTTTCATCCATTATAATGAGAGAGGTCAATAAAAATCAGAGGCATTTTGATTGATGCATTGCTTCCTCGAGTCTAATTGAAAAAAAAACGAAGCAAAAACTGCTAATAATTTTGGTGGGGTTTCTGTTCAAGCCAGAGATCCAGAAAGAGGGGCCAAAAAAAATTAATTTGACCTAAATTTCCAAAAATCTGGAGCCAAATCCTTTAAAAGTCAATCGCTTTTTTAATACGAAAATTTGATGGTAAAACACCATCAAGGAATTTCATGTAAACATCAATGAATTGAACCAAAGATTCAGAAAAAAAAAACATTTACATTTTGTCCAAAAGGGCATTTACTTTAAATTTTAAAATATTATACGAGAGAAAATTCAGAAAAAAAAAACCCTATTCATGAAATTACTTAAAAATCAAAATCACCAAAAAAGAAAGATGCAATTTTTCACCCAAAAAAGAAAAGATGCAGTAAAATTGCAGAAAGGGAGAGACCAACCCGAATGAGTATGGAGATTAGATGATCTCTTGGTAAGAATAACCCTCAGATCTCCACATTCGTTCTCAAAGAGGCATATGAGGACCGCTGCTCTCCCCGGTTTTCCTGAGGAGAAATAGACCTCTCTCTCTCTAAAATAGGAGGATACTGAGGGCTTGTATTCTCTGAGTTGTTGGGCTAAAACCCTCAATCTCTGGCTTTTCCAAGATTCCTCTGATAAAAAAATAATTGGGTTTTTGTTGCTGCTCTCCATGAGATTGGCTATGGACTTCGTTGCCATACAAAACCTCTTCGAAGCTGCTGCAATCATGGGCTTATAACGGAGGAAGCAGAGAGAGAATGGTATAGAAGAAAGGTTGAGAGCAACACAATTAGTGCGGTCAAAACAAAAAAGTATTAAAAAATAAAAATATTAAAAATTCTTTAAAAGAAAAAAATATATATAAAAATAAAATGAAACACAACACGGGGTACTAAAAATAGTATGTAGTGGTTTAAAAAGCGGATGGGTGACTCGGATTGGGCATCTCAAAAACACATCCGGATCGGCGAATCAATTAATAGCTCAGATTAAACCTTACAAAAAAATCTGAAAAAATTATTAAAATTCATTATAAATATTGTTTTTTAAGAATTCAATAAGAAATGAAAGTACTCCATTAAGAATTTTCATTTCTTTGCATGAATATGCGAATATTGATTTGTTCTTTCCCTGCATGAACTACTATTTACCATTTAATTTACATCACACAAAATGATAAATATAGAATTATCATGAATTAAGTATATCATCATACATGGACTACAACAAATAAAATAACAGAGGACGTCGTTCTTCATCTTGGTCATGCTGGTGCTATTGATTGAATTCACGTGACAATTCATTGACTCATTCTAAAAACGAATCATCCAAATTAGTATGCACCTGACTATACCCAAATCCCTGAGTGTTAGTGTTTTGTTGTGGTCCTTATCCAAAATCCTCGAAGTTTGTCCATCCTTCATGCTCACCTACATTATCATGCTTATCCCTACCCGCTTGTGTTGGGACTCGATATGTGAATAATTTGGCTGGGATTGGGTGGCCTCAGAATCATCATCTCTCTCATTTTCCCTTAGACGCCCTTCCCACTCTCCTTCATTAGGTGCAATATCACCAACATCTCCGACAAATTGTGGATATGTTAGTGGGCTGCTTCCTCGTTCATACTGTTCATCACCTTCTTCAAGATCTTCCTCACCGATAGCCTCAAAGAATGCTCTCTTGTGCAACACTAACTTTTCTTATTCTACTATCTATTGTTCTGTTGTGTCTGTGACAAATATTGTGTCCAAATCTATCGACCCATAGTCTTCAAGCTTCCTTCTTATTTGTCGCTCTCTGAGGTTTAAGTTGTAATGAATGTAAACTAGTTTATGAAGCTTCCCAAAAGCGATTCGATTCCTCCTAGTAGTGTGCAACCATTAGAACGTACTCCAGTTTCGCTTAAAGTCAGTAGCAGACCATGTCTGGGAGAGCATCTTGATTGCTGTCCTCTTTAGGTGAGGTGCATCACTATCATATATCTCCCACCATTCAGCTGGATTAAAATGTAAAAAACATTGTAAGGGCAAGAACAATTCATAAGATTAAATATATGAATGAACAGAATATTAGTTAGGGGATAACCTGGATCCATCTTAGTTCGAGAATTCCTAGCAAGTCTAGTTCCGCAGGATCCTATATCATCCCTATACATAGCAAGCTAAAACAAAATATTTCGTTTTAATGCATTATTCCTCACAAATATAACAACTCAATCAAGTTCTTACTCAAATATTAAATAATACCTCTTGTATTGCTGCTACCTGGTTTCGATGGCTTCTCTCTAACCTGACAATAATGTATCTGACCTCTTCCATAATCTTGTGGGGATGTTCAAGTGTCAAATATAACAATTTTGGGTTGAAGTAGCAACCTAGAAAATATATAGATAGAGAAATGTCATTCAAAATTTCATAAAAAAATAATTTAGAATGAAACATTCTAATGATATAAATATATATTTACCTGTATAATGAATTGGACGTCCAAATTTGGTGTTCCACCTTCTTTCCATAATCTCGATCACTTTACTCGCAAAATTACACTTCTCCCCAATAGCTGATTTGACCCTCTCGATACTTTAATAAAGGATGCTCATGGTAGCTTTCTTGTTAGCACCCACCGTTCTTAACACCGTAACAAAAGGGGCAGTGGCCTCTACGATACTGGAACATCGAGACCAGAACCTCCTATTTGAGACTATGTCGTCCACTTTTAGCCCTGTATTGGACTTCGAGAGGCGGTCATTTAACCACTCTTCACTGGTAAACAATCTCTTTAATGCTCCTTCAGATTCCCGAATGGAGTCCACAGCCAAGAAATCTGTCACAAAGCGGGTTATGGCAGGCCTGATTATCTCTTTTTTTTTAGACTGCTCTCTGAATAAAAATAAAATTTTACAATGGTTATATATAAATCTTGATACCAACCTCGCTTCCTATAGAGTCTCCTTCACAATTTTGATCTCACCGATCTCCTCTAATATAAGATCGATGCTGTGTGCAGCACACGGGGTCTATATTAGATGCTTCTGCTTATCCATCAATTTGCTGTCCGCAGAAACACATGCACACTCATTGTCTATAATAAACTGGACTACATGCTTATCTCCCACCTCCTCCACTATCTGATCATATAGTCGTACGAAGAAGTTTGCATCCTTCTTCATCCCTGATACGTCTTTGCTAGACAAAAAAGCTGTACCTTTTGGGGATTAGGCCAAGAAGTTTAAAAATTCCTTTTTGCTAACTTTATTCAACCAATCATCACTCATGAGAGTAGTGCTTGTTCTTGGCCAACTCTTATTATATTCTTCAATCCACTTTCTAACTTCTTTCACTTCTTCATCCAATATTGACCCACTGAACTCATATGCCGTCGGGGGTTTTACCCCGTGCCTAGCTCTCTGGATTGCGTTGACCATAGGTAGAAAATATGAGCTATTGGTTGCATTAAAGGGGATCCCTTTATCATAGAACTATTTACCAACATATCTGCCCAACATGTTTCTCATATATTTCACCATGCCTTTGAGGGTCATCTGTCTGACTTAGGCTTTGCGAGAAATGAGTCTATACGATCATGACCTGCAACACTAGCACTCCTAAATAAGCTAGAAACAATTTCTTCAACATCTGATTCCTCTTGATACATATTGCCACCAACCCCTCCATACATATTTGAGCTGTGCCCGCCATACATGCTCGAGCTGGGCCCGCCATGCATGTCTGAGCTAGGCCCACCATGCATGGCCATGTCATAACCACCAGGCATTCTTGATCTGTGTTCCCTCTGGTATGTTTCCTGTAAACTCATTCTTGTGGCCATCTCTAAGTCATTATTATATTGCTCTTCTGGATCATTCCCGCTTGATGGCATATATAAACTAGCTATCTCCTCATCCATCATCTACTTTGCAATTTTTTTACCTTTGGTAGCTTTGAGAAATGTCGTCATCTGCTTTCTTACATTATTAGGGACAATATTGCACACAGAAACATCTTCCTTAACCCATGCCAATTGTTGCTTGAACCTATGTACCCCACAACTTATCACTCTTTGGCAGTAATTACAAATAATTTTGTCTTTTTTTTTGGGATCAAGTCTGACCTAATGTTGCCATGCAGGGTCTTTCGCAGATCTTGTCATGGTTCAACTGTTTTAATATGTAAAAGGTTAAAAATTAACGTGACAGTTCAATATGAAAAATAATCACCATGTGTAGTGATAATATATAAGGGTAGTTCATAAAGTTATATTTGTTGTTAAAGCAAAATATTTCTATTGACAAAAATATTTTAGTTCCTACTAGAAAAAATAATTTATTTATACACCATTATAGATAAAAATAGCATACATCAGCCACTACATATAGAACAAAAAAATTTATATTGATATAGTATCAATAAAATTATATTTACAATGGTATAATAATTCACAGTGCCAATACATATGGACTTGTCACAAATCTTCATTTCAACAAACATGAATGAGTTCCTACTGAGAAAAAAAAATATTTATGCAACATTATAGATAAAAAAAAAGTCTGTATGAGTCACACTTAGAATCAAGAAAAAAATTACAATAATATAGTCATCCATAATGCCACTACATGTATATTTGACACAAAAAACATTTACAATGATATAGTCATTCACAATGCCACAAATAAAATTTACAATGATATAGTGGGCACAATCCCAAGTCAATTGAAATGATCACAAATAGTCATACATCTCAATTACAAATATGCAAGATAATATAATAAAAAATGTAAGCTCCAAACATGGCTACAACTCAATTATCAAGAACATACATTTTTTGCTTTAAAAATTTAATAATAAAATTGAAAAATGTAAGATAATATAATTATCATACATGCCACGATTTTTTTACAATGATATTCACTTTAATTCCTCATGTAAATATAGTTTAACAACATGTATTTTTTGCATTAAAAATTTAAAAAATTAAAAATACATTTTTAATGTAAAACTGCATTAAAAATATAATACAGTTTAACAACATGTATTTGCTAATGTATTTTTTTGCATTAACAACAAATTAAAAAGTACAGTTTTGCATTAAAAATATAATAACATGTATTTTTTTGCTTAAATAATCTATCAACATGCAATTTTTGAACTAAAAATTTAACAATAAAAATTAAAAATATTGTTTAATTCCTCATGATAATAAAAAACTGGTCACAATTTTTCAAAAAATCACGATTTTTCAAAAAACTTAATCATGAATTAAAAAAAAAAAAACGCAGTTCTTCACAGACCCACCTAACATCAGTCATTCTAACTCAAAAATCCGCCTCAAATCGAATAAATTACATCAAATTGAATACATGTTTTGATAAGCAACACTATAAGGAATTAAAGTCCTATAAATTAACACATTATTATCAAAATATTAAATAAAATAGATTGAACTGGAGAAAAAAAAAAAACGTAGTTCTTCACAGACATCAATCATTCAATCTCAAAAATCAAGCTCAAATTGAATAAATCAGATCAAATTGAATACATGTGATGATAAACAACACTATAACAAATCAAAACCCTATAAATTTAACACATTATTTGCAAAATATTGAGTAAAATTGATAAAATGGCGGAAAAAAAAAAGACCGCGGTCCATTTTTTCTTGACAGACATCAATCTTTTTTTCTAAAAAGTCAAACTCAAATTGAATAAATAAAATCAAATTGAATACATGTGATGATAAACAACACCATAACGAATCAAAAGCCTATAAATTTA